TATCGTCCATAAAGATACAGTGTATACTGATCAATATCATCCATAAAGATACAGTGTATTCTGATTAGTGGGAATAAGAGGCGGACTGTTTCAATATTGATCATTTCTCAGTACAATCAGAGCTGGTTGTGGATCAGATACTGAACGAACTGAACACCGACTCATAATGCTGTCCATTCACCGTCTTATGTGTGTGTGACAGTGTTTTTTTCAGCTGTTACCATAGTAACTACCCAGTTCTCTGCGTCCTGTCTGGTTCTTTAGAGAGGCTGCTCTTATTGGCTGTAGCTCGTTGCTTCCCGACACCAACAGATATTTATCCTAATAGATATTTGTCTTGTGTCTGCTTGCTCTCGCCGAGTTCTCTGATGGCGTCTTTGAACAGTTTACACATAGCGGTGATTGGAAAATCAGGACTAAAATTATGTAGTGTGAACTCTGCATTAGCTGCCAACGTAAGGATCTGTGTTCAGTTAGAAACACAATGAGCCAACAGTGAGACTAAAGCAGAATCTTTTCATGGCTGCCGGACGAAGCGTTGACGGTTCATCTGGTTGTTTCTGGTCCTCAGATCTGGCTCAGGGGCGTAGCTACTGGAACCGTCTGAGGTTCCTTGATGTTTGTGAAACAGCCACCGAGATCTTCTCCAGAAAATACTTCAACAAGCACTTCCTGATCCCGGCACTGGAGCTGGTCCACGACCCGGTCGCCAACGTCAGGTAGCTCTGACGGTGTTCTATGGCAGGCAAAATCTGTCTTTCTGATGTCAGCTGTAACACACCTGTCTGCCTGTTCATCTATGTGTCAGGTACAAGCTGTGTCAGCTGTTGCCCAGATTGCGTTCGTCGCTCCGCCTGCCGGCCGACAAGCAGCTCCTGCAGCAACTCGACTTCTGTGTCCAGAAACTGCTCTGCAGAGAGAAAGACAAGGACGTGGTGGCCACCATCCGCAAGGTAATATCTTCACTACCTGAGACCTGTCAGACCCCCGTCAGAGGACTATCTGTGAGAATCAATGAAGGATTAACTGTGGTCTTCATGTTTTTCAGACAGTGTTGGAACTGGACAAACTGGACCTCACAGAGCCTGTAAGTAACGGAACGAACTGTAGAGTTAACCTCAGCTGAGGGTCTTGCTCCTGATCTGCTCTATTGTGTCTCTGCAGTTTCACAAGAGGCAGGAGAGAGATTTACTGGACCAGAAGAAGGAGAAAGAGGAGACTCTGCTGCTGGAGATGGTGAGTCTGAACCTGACAGATGATGTTCTGTCTAAATTACTTCCTGTTTTGTTTTAATGGCGTCTCCTCTGTGGTCAGGAACAGCTGGAGCGCCAGCAGAGCGAGGGGAAACTGAACTCTGAGAAACACACTGAGAGAAAACGTGAGCAAAACTGTAATTCACAGAGGAGAGTTCTGGTTAACTGGTATAACTGGTCAGAGTTTATTAATCCAGTCTGTAAACTGTCTTTCTTGACAGGAAGAGACAGTAAGACCAGTCTATCTGCTACCAAATCCATGTCTGTGTCCTCGTCTGGAGCCGCCTTGTCCTCCTCTGGTAAGACGAAAATATGAAGACAAGCTGCCTTTTTGTAGAAAATGTTTTACCTGAGAACTGTGAACCGAATATAAAGTCTGAATTCAGACTCTGTCGTTCTGTTTTCAAGACGACAAGCAAAGAATTTTTAAAATTCTTGTTTTCTGAGTTTGGTTGATCAGGGCTATACTTACTTCAAGCTAGAGAGAGTGGAAATAAATCTACTTTATAATCCCAAAAGTTTAAAGAATATACAGTGTAAACGTCTCCAGATCAGAGCAGAATCCGGTGTGACTGCAGGTGTTTATTCTTCCAGAAGCTCCAGCTCTCTCCTGCAGAGCTCCCCGGGTTCAAGCAGCTGTCTGTGGGCGGGTGGTATTCAGTCAGTTTCAATCTGCAACCCTGGAGGCCACTGAATCTTGTTGGTCCTTCTGTGGACCTTCTGTGGAATACCAACCATGATGATGATGTTTCTTCTTCTTCCAGGTAAAGACATGAGAAAGGCTAAATTGTCACGGAGTCGATCCCTCAGCAGTCAGCCAACAACTTCCAAATCTACCAACTCAGATCGACCCCTGTAAGAACCGCCGTCTCCTTTAAGTTCAGTCTCTGGTTTTCTCTGGGCCTTTAGACTGAGCGGGTTGATACTTCGGTATCGGTACTGGACCACTGTGGCTCAAAGGGAGCTGATCCTAAAGCTCTGAATCTACCAGTGGATCTGTTCCCCCCATTCCACACCCTAGTGCTAGCTAGCTGGCTGTTGGTCAGTTAACATTAGCCAAGTTAGTAAAGCTGCTGATATTTTACATCAATGTTACAAACCTCCAACATAACCACACCTGCAACCACACCTGTAACGCATCTGCAACCACACCTGTAACACATCTGCAACCACACCTGTAACACACCTGCAACCACACCTGCAACCACAACTGTAACACACCTGCAACCACACCTGTAACACACCTGTAACCACAACTGTAACACACCTGTAACACACCTGTAACACACCTGTAACACACTGTAACCACACCCATTCTGGTTCTGTGTTTCAGGAAGGTGAAAGAGCTAAGCAGTAGTTCTGTACCTGGGAAGTCCTCAATGTTAGCAAGCAAAGGTAACCCCTCCTCACAAACACCTGCTCCGTCTAAATCCAGGTAGTAAATCTCAGTGTTCTCTTTATTGACCTCACTTTGTGTCTCATAGACGACTCTCTGAGGACAGCCCACTTCACCATGGCAACCCAGTCCACCTCCTCCATGCCGGTCCTGATCCGCAGCAACACCACCAGCCTCCTGGACAGGGCCAGCACGCTGGACCACAGAACCGGCACCCTAGACCAGAGGGATCATAGAACCATTACTCTGGACCACAGAGCCAGTAACATGGACCAGAGAGACCACAGGGCCAGTAACATGGACCAGAGAGACCACAGAACCAGTAACATGGACCAAAGAGACCACAGAACCAGTAACATGGACCAGAGAGACCACAGAACCAGTAACATGGACCACAGGAACAATATGATGGAGCAGAGAACCAGTACAATGGACCACAGAACCAGTACCCTGGACCAGAGAGACCATAGAACCAGTACCCTGGACCATAGAGACCACAGAACCAGTACCCTGGACCAGAGAGACCACAGAACCAGTACCCTGGACCAGAGAGACCATAGAACCAGTACCTTGGACCAGCGCAGTAAAACGATGGACCGTGGCTGCGGGGTGAAGGACAGCCAGTCCAGAAAGCTGTCGATGTGAGTTCTTGTTCTCGTGGTAGACCTCAATATGAGTTAACGTAACCCCCCAGACCAGGTCCAGGGGTACCCTATCAATAGTAGTTCAAAGAGGGGTCAACAAAACCCTCAGTACTTATTTTATAAGACCTGGGCCTAGACCTGATGGTCTTTTGTGGTTCCACTATTAGAATCCAGGGCTGGGTACCGAACTCTAGTGCCTTTATGGCTCCGACCTAATGGTGTTGAAACTACTGACAGACAGACACACAGACACATAAACACATAGACACATAGACAGACAGAGTTATGCTAGTTGTTAGCAGTGCAGCTAACCTGTATCTGCTCATCAGTGAGTCCGTTCATCGTCCTCTGGGATGGAAACTGTGGTGCATCCTCTCCTCGCCACAGCAGAGCAGAGCGACAGGTAAAACAGCTGGGTAGCTGGTCTCTACCATAGAGACAGGAAGAGGTCTCACTCTGACAATATTTCCTAGAACCATGAACGTCCCCACACAGTCAGTCCCTTTTTCTTCTTGTTTTTTGGGTTAGATTGATACGTTTTGCTGCCATACTGTTTGCTATAAATGTTCCTTTCACAGTTATTTTTAGTTTTATACAGTCCAATACTGAACATATATTACGTTTATTAATTGTTATAGTTGTATAATGTCACTAATGTCTATAATTATAATATATGTCACTAATGTCTATAATGTAAATCAGCACCCAGCCCTAGCTCTATCCCAGTCTTAACCCCCTTTAATCCGGTTTAATCCAGACTTTATTCTGGCCCAGGACTTAAAGTTTTAATGATTCTTTTTTTCTTTTCTAATCTACAGAAACAGGAAGTCGAACTCTTTCAGCGTCCAGTCAGGACGAGACTAAAGATGACGATGTCATCATACCTCCACCAGGCCATCAGCCAATCAACAGTCAGGGAGCCGTTTCCATATAAACAGCAGCTTTACGAGTTAAAGGACGAAACACGCTTCAGAACATTACCCAGAATGCACCAGGACTGCCTCCTCTGTTTCTCACAGAGACTGCTTTTATTTTCTCAGCACTGTGTATCCAACGAGCTCATCCTGTCACCTGATTGGTTCAGTAAATGCCTCATACAGACTGATGCTGTGTTCTTATTGGTTGTCTGGATATGATGTCACTGCAGATGTTTATGAACACATCAGAGATTGAGAACATTTTAATAATATTTTACAGTGTACACATGGTACCATAGTTTGTTTTGTGAGTACAAATACTTTGTTACTTCACTTAAGTAGTTTATTTTCAGGTATCTGAATATACTATAAGGTATACTTTTTACACAAATATCTGAACTTTCTAGTGTTTACAGTTTCAGAACAGACTGAGAGAATTATTGATTATTATTATTTTATTTTACATCATTGATCGGCATCAAAACATGGAGATGGGTTCTTATGAACTTATTTAACAAACAACCGGCAGAAGAAAGTTTTACTTTTCGCAGTAGCTGTTTACATCAATTACTAAATGAACATCATGCTGTATGGAAGAAGACTGAAACTAGAGACTGAGACCAGAAACTCATCAGGAAACTGTTTACTGAGCTCATTAATCAACTTCTCCATAAGACTCAATACTATCAGAGTGGAGCTGCCCCCTGCTGACTGTTAAAGAGAATGCAGGTTAAATTTATTTCAGTGAATAAAGTCTGAAGGCCCAGAGAGGAAATGAATTTATACTACAACTTATATAAGTTATATAACTACTTCTTATATCGTAGTACCGATACTAATATAACTTATATAGT